CCCCAAAACCCCAAAACCCCAAAACCCCAAAACCCCTTATTTACTAAGAATCGTTGACCTTCTAAGATTATAAAATTTAAAATTTTTGAAAATGTGGCGAAAAGTTGAGTCCCCCGCAGACATAAATAATCATACTAAGACTAATAGTATCAAACGGGAAGGACCCATATATGGTGGAAGAGAGAATAATCTTAAAGGCAATCTCTTCATGAAGACAGAAAGTATATATACAACAAAAGCTAAGAAAAAGACCAAGACTATTGACCCTAAAAATGCGGAAAAAGAGCTAAAATAAAGCAAATGAATTAGTAGTAGTAGACATCACTGACCTTGATAAGGAGAATATCCATGTGAACAAGATTGACAACTTAGATGCTAGAGCTACTTTTAGCCAAATAAAGAGGCCTGTCTTGTCTATCCAAAGGAAGTACCTTAACAAAATAGAGAAGGAAATTAGCATCAAAAGATATACAGATTCAGGACATAACCAAAGACGAGATAATAATTTATTAAATATTAGTCAAGATCGAAGAAAGAAAAGTATTAGCAATACAGAAAACACAAAAAACCCGGCTAGTACAAATAAAACTGCAGATCTATTTACACAGGCTAGAGAGGCACTCTCCAATTTGCAGGTCACAAATGTTAAGGAAACAAAAGCCTTGAAAGAAAAAGTTCCCAGAATGCGTGAAGTATTACCAAAGCAGAAGAGAACTGGATTATTGCGTAAAGGAACTCCAGCCACTCATAAAAGATTATCACAAAACCTGAAGTCACCTCCAAAATCGCCTAAATCTAAAGTAGAAATTCCTTTTTCCAAGAACAGATATTCTAAGGAACCTCAGAAGGAAGACCTTACTCTTGAAAATAAGAAGAAAGCAATTCAGTACTTAAAGACTCAGAAGGCATCTAGGCATGAAAAGAAGGATCAAAAGAAGATTCTTATGGATAAATAGAAAGAAATACACTGAACAAGTCAGGAGGCAAAATAAAGAGAAACTCCAAAAGAAAAAGCTAAGAAACAGCAGTATTGACGATACTAAAGAAAGAAGAGGTAAACAACCCTCTGCACCTCGATCAAAATCAGAAGATGTACGTACTAAGCCCTTTAAGGTTGTCAGGAAGCATGCTAGGAATAGACTTAGGCAAATGCATAGGTCTGAAGCAAAGCCAAATGAAAATTCTCATATTAACCAAAAAGATACCAATACTTTATCAGTAGAAAGAGATGAGAGGAAGAATACTATTGAGCAAAAAGTTGCTAAATTCCCAGAAATGCAGCCAAATCTTCCTCCTAAAGGTGATAATAAAGTTCAGATAAATGTAGATATTGCATCAAAATTCAACCAAAGAGAGATCATTAATCTTAACATGGACCACTCTGCCCAGATACATTTAACTGAGGAGGAAGAGACTAAATACATGAAAACTCCTGAGTTAAATCTGAAGGAGAAATATTCTCACAAGAACATCTCAGAAAACAAAATTAGCGGAAAATCTACTGAGAAAGACCTAAAGACAACAAAAATATTACATTCTTCGCACAAAAAGAAGAGCCTGAAAGTTTCCAAAGAAGTAGTTGAGTGAAAGAGGAATCTCATAAAGCTCCAAAAGAAGAGCGAATACCTTAAGAGGAAAAAGATTGACCAAGAAACCCAACAAAAAGAGTTAGAGAGAAGGAAACAAAATATTGCCTCTCTCAACACAATGCTTAAGAAGAGAAACCAAAGCTTCAGGAGGAAGAAGAGGAAGCAAGAGAAACTAATGAAGAAGGATGCTATCAACTTTGATAAACCTCCAGGCGCCAGCTTTAGTAAGAAGGTGAAAAGGAAGAAGATTAAAGTGAAGAATATAAAAAGAAACCAAACATTCACTAATTTATCAAACAAAAGTCCTGGAGACACTATGAACACTACTAAGAATCATCCATCATCGAATAAGAAGAAATTTACTGTCTCTGTAAGGAAAAAGTTGACATACAAGAAGATGAATGAGAGTCTGAAGACAAATACTTCATCAAGAAAGCTCAGGTCAGACAATAAGCTTGGCGCTAAAAGTGTAAATACTTCTCAGTATTTTTATCCTAACCGAGGAAATATAAATGCTCATAAGAAAATGAAGGCGATCAAATCTGAATCTAAGAAGTACGTTCCTGGCAAAGGCACTCATTTTAATGATATCTCAGAGATAAAAGAGTTTAACATGACTGATGAGGAAGAGTCTCTAATCAATTCTTCCATCCTCAAAAATATCGAAGAGCATGAGTCACTCAGACAGACTGAAAAGCTTGGGAAGGAATCCCTCAAGAAGCAAAAAATGGCAGCTAAAAAGACTATTCAATCTACTAAAAAGAAGCACAAAAAGCCTGCTAAGAAGAAAATGAAATTTATTAGTTCATCTAAAAAGGCTCCTAAGAGGGCGAATAAGTTTGTTGACAAGGAGAAGACAGATAAATCTCTGAAGAAAAGAAAGGTCATCTTCCACTCTAGTAAGCTCAAAGAAGTGTCTCCGATTGAAAGAATCACAAGAGGCTCTCAATACCTTGAAGAGTCCATGGATCCAAGGAACGATTATAAGAATATAGAGTCGTCTGGTGAAAGATTTGGACAGATTAAAAAGGTAGAGCTATCCATTCCTTCGATACTCAATGGAAGCCAATCTGATGAACTTCCTTGCCTCAAGGATTGTCAAGAAGACAGTGAAATTAGAGGCTATGCTGTTAACGAAGGATGCAAGAAAGTTGAGAATATAGACTCAGAGGAATTTCTGGGGTTGCTTTCGTCAAATATAAAACAAGAAGAAATTAAAAGCTCTAGTAATAGAATTACCGATCCTAAAAATCTGCAACATATAGATTTCACTGATAAAGAGAACCTTCATCTTAGTGGATATCACTCTCCCGGAGTTGATTCCCCAAGCAAGAATTCTTCAATCCATGAAATGGAAGAATCTCATTCAGTTGTTCATTGGAATATAGATTCAGTAAAAGACAATCGTGAGCCTACTCCTGAAGTCTTAATACCTGAAAAGGAGTATATAATAGAGTCAAAGACTTATTAAAAACCCAAAAGGAAAGGAACGGCTTAATTCTTGGTTCTAACCTCCAATCTGAAAATCAGACAGTGATTAACTGAACTCAAAGCAACCAAGAGAGTGCTAGTGAACATCAAGAAGAACTTCAGCATGACCAAAATAATACTGTTGATAAATCTTCACCTGAGTCTTCTCCCATTCCTCAAGATTTCACTTCAGTCAGAGAAGTCGAGCAAGAAAGTCCAGATGAGTCAGCTGAAGAACACCATAACCAAAAAGTATTCGAGTATCTTCACCAGCAGAGTGACCAAGATCTTGCCGAGCCAGGCATAACATCTAAAAATAAGGCAGAAAGTAGTTCGAGCAAACAGCTAGATGCCAACTTACCTAACTCAGATCATCATTCAAGCTCAAACAGAGATTTATCAGAACCTGACATGGACGAGGAAGAGATTGAGAAGTTCCTCAATGAACCTCCAGCCCATGATAAATCTGAAGGATTTGATAACACACTCACAAATATGAGACTGGCTTTTGGCTCAGAAAAACACATTCGAGAAAACAGTGTCAAAACTCTTGAGAAAATAGGTCAGATTCATATTGAAGAAGAAAGTGGAGAAAAGACAGATGAAAAATCAAACGTATTTGAAAAGAATAGTTTCCAAGAATACTCTCTTAAAAAGTTTACAGAGCTTATGAACGTCAAAAATATGAAGAATTTTCAGACTACTATACAAAAAACCTTCAGAGAGTATAACAAAAATAACTTCTTTACCAACAGTGATAAAAAGGCAAGCAAACTAAGCTCCACTCCTAAAAAATCAAGTTGTATCTCTCCAAGGAAGTTCACCATGAAAGATCTCGAACTTGATAGAATCGGGTATGAAAAGATGAAGGAAAACTCAGAAAAGAAGACCAAGTTCATTCAGAACATGCTTGGATCCTGTTCTAGCCAGAACAAGCAAAGCACCTCTTCTATTCTATACAAGACTAATCTGAGTGCTGAGAAATGAAGAAGAGAGATCAATATGGAAGATCTCTCTGACGACCAATCTTCTAAGAATATGCAGTACAAAACCTCAAGTCCCCATAAGACTTATCAGTTACTAAATAATAAGGCAGAGAAGGAAGAAGTAGTAATCAACCCTCAAAATCTTGACATATATGAGTCACCTAAAAAGTCTGCACAAGGTATATTCACTTCATGAAAGAAACATTTTGAAAGTATTGACCAAACAAGCCAAGACCAGTATGAAGTTGAGACTCCTTCCGAAGACGATAATATTGAAACGGTGAAGCATGATTCTTCCAGACTTAGATCTCAGAAGAGAGGTCTTCCAATGGAAAATTCTGCTACAAGTAAAGAAGAAACTCCCAAATGAGCATTCACAGGAAGAATAATCCGTACAGACGAGAACTGTAACACAGTCGAGAAGTATATCGTAGGAGATTGCTTTACTGATGAAAAGAACTATGAAAAGAGGCTTAGAAACGCAGTAACTTCAGCTAAGAAGATCAACCCAATTCAGATACTCAGAGAGGTAAAATCTCCAGACTCGTCATATATCTCATCTACTAAGAATGCCCTAGCTGAAGAGTATTTGAATGAAAATGATAGGATTAATTTTGAAATTAGTGAGCAAAAATATCACGCTGTTCAAGGGTTAAATGACAAAGAAAATATTGGTAATAACCACAATATTAATATCCAAAAATTTGATTACCCTGGTTGACTTAAAAGCAGCCTTTTTCAGAACAAACTTCAAGACTTAGAGCAAGATTATAATGCCCTTGAATCTCCGGAAGAATCAAACCACAAACATTCAAAATCCAGATCCAGAACAAAAGAGAAGAGCAGGAGTGGCTGTGGTTCTGAACAAATTGATGAGATCTTGGAAGTTGACAGAGAAGATGACAAAACTTGCATGATGATCGACTTTAACTCTTCTCCAGAGCCCACTAAGCGAGTAATCCCTGAGCTTGAAGAAGAGACTACCCAGAGCATTGAATGGATCATTGCGAATAATATCAATGCTCAGAAAAGAGATGAAATCTGAAAACTAGTTGATGGCGAATCCAGGAATATCTCACCTCATACTAAACTGCCTCAATCAGAAAGTGAATCTAAAGGAGATATTGAAGTTGAAGAGGTTCCAAGAGTCAAGTTTGGAAATCCGTTGATTGATAATAATATTCTTGAAGGAAAAAAGGACGACCATGAAGAATCTAACCTGGCCCAATACGTTGATTGAATCGAGTCAGTCGAATCCTCTGCCAATAAGTCAGCAAAAGAGTATGCTGAGAAAGAACTTATGAAGAACCCAGAAGAAACTTCAGAGCATATGACTGATGAAATACTCTCTATGATGTTATTTAATGATATTCATGATTGTCCTATGCATCCAATTAGAGAGAACAACTTTGTTGATTATTTCAAGGATAAATATCCATTCAATAGAGATCTAGGAATTGATACAACAGAAGTTGGGACAAATAAGTACATTGATCAATTATGTGACTACCTTGAGAAATACCATCTTGATCTAGTCTACAACCAACTTCTAAAGCCAGTCTATGTAGATCCTCTTGAAGAACTAAAGAAGCTGCAAGCTCTTGATGATTTCTACAATGATGAGGTGCCTGAGAGTGATAAGAATTCTCAAGCCAATCTCTCTAATAAGGTGGAAGAGCCTGATACTGGCCTTGTCCTTCCTCAACAGCTCTTCTATGAATTTGAAGAAGTCAGGAAGCAGGACCTTTACAAAAATATTGAAAAATGAGCCAATCCTGAGTACAAGGAAAATGAAATCGAAGACAAAGTTAGATACACTTTTATTCATGACAAAGTTGTTTTTGACGCTTTTAATAATGCCCTTAGTCACTATGGCGAGAGAAGTGAGACACCAAGACCTTGGATTAAACAAAAAGCTTCATTCGAGAGATATTATAATGTCGATGAGATCCTAAACCTTTTTGAGAAGTCTAAGAAGAAGGTTAGTAATTGCATCTCTGTATGAGCAGGAACTAGGAAAATTCCTCCTCCTTCAGTATTAGATACTTACAGCCAGATGAATGATGACTTTGGAGATACTCTTGATGCTAACCAGCTTTCTGACGAAGAGCGATTACAACAGTTGAGAGAAGAAAGACTTAGTTTAATGCTGAGGTAGGTTTCCTTTCCTATTGAACTGAATATCCTAACAATTATTATAGAGAGATACAAGATGAAGACTATAAATGGAACAAATTCGAAGCCTGAGAAATCCAAATAAAGCTCGATCTAGCAGACATGGTGTTAGAAACCCTTGTCTGAGAAGTAATCGAGATTTTGAATAAATAAATCCTTTGTATTTGTAAGTGTACTTCAATTTGTATTTATTAATGGGGTTTTGGGGTTTTGGGGTTTTGGGGTTTTGGGG